TCCCGCTCCCCCCCACTCAATACCCAGCAGAAACTATTTTGCCCTTATCTCTAATTTTGTTGTAGAGAGAGTATAAGCAATAATAGGAAGGAACAAGGGGTTTTGCTGGTTGAGATAAGGATAGCTATACAGGGCATTGACTCACATTGATTTCCTGTGCGTGAGTGTTACCTTCTAGGTTAATTCTTTTTGATCTAACCTTTTCTCTAGTACCTGTTCCCCTTTTCCTATTGGCCTCAGTTGCTTTTAAGGTATCTGCTTTAGTTTCTCTGCATTAAGGGCAACAAATGCTAGCTAGTTTTTTAGGTGTCTTACCTATCCTCACCCCTCCCTTGTGTGCTCTCGCTTTTATCATGTGCAAGTAGGAGCTCCTTGACTTATGTTGCATTTGCCAGGGCATGGCATCTTGGCAAAGTGTGAGAGTTCTGGATGAGGGTATTTGCCATAGCCATTGGAATCTTCCCTGTAATGACGCAGCGCCATAAATCATGAGGTTGAGTCAGCTCAAAGTACCAGCATTACACTCACCACCAGATGCTGATATAGCGGTCAATGTCATAGATTTGATCCATGGGGTTTGGAGATAATGCAGAGATGAGGGCAGTCATATATATGGTAGTGAGTCCACTCTAAAACCTCAGGAGGACTGCCTTCTTAAAGTGCTGATCTCCTGCTGAAGTGGAGCATCTATTATCAAAGCTGTAGAAAGTGACCTGAATCTCCACCGGAGAAACCTTGGGAAGGTGAAGAACCTTTATCCTGGTGGAGGGCTGTGTATAAGATGGAGAAGGTGGTGCAGACACAGCTGCACAAGCCCTGCAACACTGATGAACAGAAGGCCCCAGGCCTAATTTGACACCTCCAGTGCACATCATGACTCTGAATCAAAATGGACAGCATGTAGAAAGGTTAGACCTGAGTTCAGATACTCTGACATGTTGCCAGGTCAAGTGAGTGTCTCCAGTTTTGATACCTTATTCAAATTTTTTTCTTTTCAAGTGTGAAATACAGTAGCCTATTTAATTTTCAAAATGTTATGAAAAATCATTGCCTTACTTTTCTGAAAAGGAAACTGAGACCCTGAAAATCCAAGTAATTTGTTCAAGGTCACAACTAGCCAGGACCACAATCCAGGTCTACAGCTTGTCGGTGAAGTCAGTACCCTTTCTTCTCCCACTACCCCACCTTCCCAAGGGGACCTGAGAAAGGGAACAAAGTTTACTCTGTCTGCTTTATGTTGTGACAGGAGCTAGAAACACCTGGTCCTGCCCTGGCATACAATAAATGGTGTCATTTGGCTTGATGAAGTGGTTGCCTTCTCCCTTCATGCTCACTCTGGCACCAAATTGATGAATGCCTGGAGATATAGAATCTGCAGGTCTGTGAGTCCCTACTCCCCAAGCTGTCACTGAGCACAGCACAAGTTCATTAAACCTGGATTATTTAATGATAGTTAATAAGATAAACTTCCTCCCAGAAGCCAACAGGAATTGACACTGTCATCTCTTAACTGGTACTCAGGAGCTGATGAGGCACTTTCTGCCACCAGAGAGAGTCTTTAAGGCTCTTAACAATAATGTGTGTACAAGCTTCCCTGAAAAGGGTGATGTAAACACGTGATTTCTAAACACAAGTTAACCCCCACATCCACGTGAAGCATACCATATGCACTAGAGAGCTTAGGCCTGTGACTGGAAAAAGGTTGCTATCCCAAAATTGTCCTCAGGACCCACACTCTAGGGCCACCTAGGCTCAGATACAGGTGACATTTTCAGAGTCAGAACACAAAGTTCAAGTCCCTCTGACAACAGGTATTTCAGGAAGGACCTAATTTCTTATGACAGTTTGTGGAGAGGAAAAGGCTGCAATATCAGATATGGAGAATATTTAACTTTGAGGAACTCGTTTTCAACAACTTGAGAAGTCTTTCCTGAGAATAGATTGCAGTTTGTGGGCCTGAGCACAGCAGTCCCCAGCTGCAAGTCTGAGTTGCTCTGACCTGTGGACTTCTAATCTGCCTTACACTTCCTTGAGTCCCAGAAGTGAGCCCTGAACCAGAGTACCTGACAGCGGCAGCTGGACCAAGTGTGTATGGCAGACCATGTCTGGGCTGGGACATGAGAAGAGGCATCAAGATACACATTCCTTGCCAAAAACTGTCTCCTTAGCCCTAATGAACCTAATAAAAACAAAAAGAAGAAAAAAGAGCCCATCAAAGTCCCTGGCTACTAGGATGAATATGAACACACATTATTATCTAACTAATACTTATATTAATATTAACTTTAAAGTTACCTGCTATAGTGTTTGTATTAACAGCAATATTTCTCATAGTGGGGACTGAATCTAGCAAAATCCATTAACTAGTGACTGTGCCACAGTTATGTGGGCTGCTATGCATTATGACACAAGCAAGTCTGAAGAAAAGGAGCTATGATCTTGAGATCCAGTTGCTGGCCTATGTGATTTTGTGCTTTTACCTAGTCAGAGATGTGGGTGTTCAAGTGAGAAGCCCTGTGCTAATCACCAGGGCAAGACTGATAGTAAAAGAAAAGACCAACATATGAATAAAACATAGAAATACTCCAATGCACTGAAACACAGTGTTTTGCTTTCATTATATACACCTATTGTTTTATTTGTTTCCTAAACTTCAACTCCTGTAGGAATAAACAGCATTGCTGTCACAGGTCTCAAATTATCTAGTCATCTTTTCTTTGAAAACTGGCATTTAAATTGGATTTTTGATAATGCAAGGTTTCTAAGCAATGCAGCCATTACATAAGAGCAGAACAGACCACAAATGCATTGTCCCTAGCCATGTCCAGATATGTAGAAACGTATAAAGTATCCTTACACTGGCTAATGGAGAAGGAAAAAAGCAATGTCTGTGCAGTGGAAAGTAACAGACTTCACACATACATGCACTGCTGTCTCTGTCCAATTGGAAAGTGATGCCCAGTTTATGCAGAAGCCACATGTTCTTAATGGGACACCTTTTTTAATCTATGCTCATTGTCACTTCTATGTGGCAGTGGTTAGCATTGGGCTCAGTTTGTATTTCTGAGCATATACTTACTACAGGTCAACATTTAGAGATAACATAGAAGTGTGCAGATAGTCAAAGACCGAGATGATACCACATGAGACCTCAGAGAGTCCTCTGGTGGAATAATGAACTTATTATGAGTAAACATTAGGAAATGCACACTTTGCTTTTTGGGGGGTGAAAAAAATAATTGAGCATAAAAAAGACTCATAGTATCTCGTCCTTCAAGCCTAAGTTAAAACCTTCCCTTTCTTATGAGGAGATCTGACATTCTTCCAAAAGACAAAAGTGTTCCTCCTCTAGTACTTTCCTTGCACCCACATAGCTTCATCAAAGCACTTACCTTCATGTGGAGTGTGCATGACTTTGCATATTGGTGTCACTGCCTGTTATCTCTGTATGCCCAGACCTGTCACTTCATTGAACTTGAGCAATTACTTTATGGAATTAATATTTTTCAATTTTTTTGAATGAATTAGACAAATTACTTTTGCTGAATGAACATACCTAAAGTTCTTTAAAAACTTTGAAGTTTGAAACCCTCTTGAAGTGGGTCATGAGATGGTCAAACAGCTGTTTTAAGTTCCACGAATATTGATGAAGATATGATAGGAATAAAGATTTGAGGGGAAGAAAATTAGAAGATATATTTCAGGGCACTTGGGTCTTGTAGAACCATCTGTAGAGATTGTTCTAAATTTTCAGTTAAAATGCCTTCATCTTCTAAGACTTTGAAAGCTGGATCAGTGCCAAGAGTGCCTTTTACAACTGAGTTATAAACCAGTGGAAAATAGGATTTATGAATTCTGAGTTGGCTAGTGCTACTTATATTGCTTCTTCTGAGGATTACAGTTCTTAAAATGTTTGTGTGTAGTTAGCATTACATTTCTGCTTTTTCCTGGACAAAGAAATGACAGTGTGATGGGACAATGTGTCTAATGATGAAGAAATAGCTATCATGAAGGAGAGCTTGATAGTGGGCCATCTCTTGCCAAGAAAGGAAGACACTGAAGTCCAATGTGTTCTCAGTTCACAGGGAAGGGGCACCCCCTTAGACCTCTACTAACCCATTTAAGCAATTACCATTTCAGTTGCAGGTTATTTTTAATTTGAATGTCCCTTTCTATAGTACTTTTACCACTTAAACTCTTGCCAGGCCGAAAGGAGTCCAATTACTCTTGAAATACCCAGGACGTTTGAAGAGAATGCTTCCTTAGTGAACCCATATCTGCCCTCAAAACAGTTTTGACCTAACTTACTTGGGTCCTGAATTCTGCTTTAATCAGCTAATCTGTTTCCAAGGATTTCCCTCTGAAAGATTAACCTTTCATCCTGCTGCGCATCAGAAGTTACAAAGGAAACCTTCCTTTGCCAAGGATAATTCTACAATTTTTAATAGCTGGTTGGGCACACTTACAGTTAATCAATAAAATAGCATGTAGCAGAAGGGATTAGGAAACCATGTGAGTTGTACTTTCACAATTTAGAATTATAGTCATACTTTCTTTAGAAACATCTCCCCCCTCCCCGACTCTCTGAAACCAACAGCTAACATCTGCAGTCTACCATCAGTATCTTCAGGGCAGAGATGGATGGTAGAAGAAATGCAATTCCAAGCGATGTATGCATCCAAGATGCAGGAACCCCACTCCAATAAATACTGCAGAGCCTTTGCATGGTACTCTTTCTTTAGCTGAAGTTGGTCCAAGTGTGACTTTAGCCTAAAGGAGGCATTTTCAGCCTGGCTGTGAACCTTTGGCAGATGTAGAGGTGCATGATGGGCACCCATGCAGGTGAAGCCCATTTGAAGGCCCCTGCTACTGGAGGAGGGGGCTCTTTGTTACTCAGTTCAGAGCTTGGAGATCCCAGCTCCCGAAACGTTCCTGGGCTCCTTGAAATGCGGGGTGAATCCCTTTGTGTGCTGATCATGTTTGTTCCCCTTTTATCACAGGAGGACTATGCCCAGGGTCTAACGATCCCTGTTTGGAGAAGCCATGTCCAGGGGATATGCAATGTGTCGGTTATGAAGCCAGCAGGAGACCATTCCTCTGCCAGTGTCCACCAGGGAAGCTCGGAGAGTGCTCAGGTGCAGAGTTGCATGGAATGATGAGGGTCTACTTCTTATTCCTGAAACACTTACCCTGGAGTAAATTACACTGCCCAGGCCCTTCCAAAAGACACTTGTGTGCACATGCTACACTTTTCTTCAACTGTGCAAACTCAGCTAACACTCACCCTCATGTTTACTGGGGACTTGTCACAGCTGTAGCCTGTGCTACATGTAAACATTGGGCTCCATATATAAAAGGGAGGCCATAATATGTGTTCTCAATTGTGTCACATGGTGGCTAAGGGTATGAAATTATGGAAAATAGAAGGCTATTGGGTGGACAGAAGAGTCAGTATCTGTGGCAAGGCCTTTGATGATAAGGAGACTGTAAAAATCCATGGCCACAAAGCAGGGATCAACAGAAGGTAGAGCTGAGCCAATCCTGTGGACTTCACATACAGTAAACTCAGCCCAGGGTTGGAGGCATGGCTCCAGTGGTAGAGAGCTTGCCTAGCAAGCTCAAGGTACTGAGTTCAAACAAACCCCAGTAAAAAAAATAAGTCCAAAGCACCAAAAAAGCCAGCTCTCCATTAGAAATGTACAACTAACTGAATGTTCCAGAAAGATGTGCCCATCTCTGCATTGTAAAGGAAAAATATCAGTATTTAGGTTATTTAAATTCAGATTATCCTCTACTTCTGATATTCACTCAGTTTCAATACTTCTTTTAATTGGCATATTCTGTACCCCTTGTTTCCTATAAAAAGTGTATTGTTCATTTTTGTGCCAATAGAATCCTCTTTTTGTGACAGGGCACATTTAAAATACAAGAATACTGATACCAGTTTTGGAATCCAAGAAATATTCATTAGGTAATGATAATAATAGTAATTATAGTAAGAATAAAAAATAATTATGCCTAGTCTGTACAAGAAACTTTGCTAAGCATTGGGGTTTAGAAATTCAATCTTTGCAAAGAGAAGTACTTTTCTTAAAAATGGAAGCCAAACTCTTTCATGACTGATGTCATGGAGTGTCCACGAGGCAAAGAGCCAACCAAGGTGCTTGCCTACGTCATCTAAGGTGTAAGCTCAGGAGAAAACTGCACTGCCCATCCCAACACATGCCATGCACACAGCGGATGGACATGCAGGTAACCATAAAGCCAAGTCCTGTGACTTCTGGTGTTGCTTTTTGCCAGTCCTCTCTTTCCTTTCTACACAGAAAACTTTCAATTGTCCAGGATTGTCATCCATTTGGTTTACTTCCACACATTCTACCTTTCACCCCAGCGAGGCCATTACTTTGCCTGTTGAAACATGGAGTTGGAGGCAATTAAAAAAATGGTCAACTCAGAAAAGAACAGTGTGGGTTGAACTAAAGATTCTGGGAAGGAAGTCTTCATCAATGGCCAGCAAATGGAATTGTGACTGCATGAGGGTTTCTTTTGTCAGTTTCCTTTTCTAAACATGAATGAAAATGACCTAAGTTGGCTAGTTGGTGTTAGGATACTTGAGGAATATAGATACTATTTGAAAACAGTTTCATTGTCTTTCCTTTGTTTCAGGAATTGGGGAAGGCAGGAAGGGATCTTTTTAAAATACTAGCTTGAGAAAGTGGAAGTTGAGAACCTATGAGACTAAGAAAAACTTTGAAGTTAAGAACATGACCTGAAACAGAGAAAAGGTTTTTAGTCAAAATAGATTTCTCATCAATGCCTTCTTTATCTTCCCGTGGTGGTAGTTGAGTGACTTCATATGTCCCTGCTCATTTCTAGATGCTAAAAGAACATATATCTTCTTGGAATGTCTTCCCAGGGCACACTTCTCTCAGCTTTGCTGGAAACAGTTACATCAAATACCGGCTTTCAGAAAACAGCAAAGAAGAGGACCTGAAGCTAGCTCTGCGCCTGAGAACCCTGCAAAGCAATGGGATTGTAATGTACACCCAAGCAAACCCCTGCATGATTCTGAAGGTGCATAAAACCGCCTGGCTTTTCTGAAGCCGGTTCTCATGTGAATGTCTTGGCTTTTGAACTAGGGACTACAGAAATCGTTTTTTCTTTGGGACTTAGAAGACCAGAGTAGAATTCAGGGCAAAGGGGATAGCTGCTGCGGAAGCAGATGTAGGCCAGCATCCCATTTCCTCTTGACACTGGGGCAGCTCCCTATAGAATGGTTTCCAGAACTGGGCTCCTGTGAGCTGTAATCACTCACCAGTTCATTATGATGCATCTCCTAATCCACAGGATGGTACTTTAACAGGATTGACCAAATTCTCTTCCACCACATGGCTCTATCCTCACTTACCTCTGAGGTGAATCTGTTCTTGCTCAGAGGATAAGTTTGGAGCTGCCACATATCCCATCATGACCTAAATAGCTCAATTACCCTGCCTCAGAACCCCTACTGAGGCACACAGATTTCTCTTAGAGCAAATCTGGCATCTGTATGCAGCTTGGGGCGTCTAGTGCCTTCATGAAAACAATATTGTTGGGCACCAGTGGCTCACTCCTGTAATCCTAACTACTCAGGAGGCAGAGATCTGGAGGACTGCAGTTCAAAGCCAGCCACAGCAAAATGTTCCTTGAGACCCAGTCTCGAAAAAATCCTTCACAAAAAAGGGCTAGTAGAGTGGCTCAAGGTATAGGCCCTGAGTTCAAACCCCAGTACCTCCAAAAAACCCCACAATATTAATTATAGGCTTATTTACATCTTTATTTTAAGTTTAATGTAGCAAGGTTTTCATTTGACCAAGAAGAGGACAGCAAGCCAGGGTGGTGGCTTACACCTATATTCTAGCTACTCTGAGGGTGGAAGCAGGAGGACCGCCAAGTTGAAGACCAGTCCCAGCAAAGGTGGCAAGACCCTATCTCAAAACAAAATAAACACAAAGGGCTGGGGGCATTGCTTAAGTGGTAGAGCATTTGCTAGGTAACTGGGAGGCCGAGGGTTCAATCCCCAATAAATAGCTCAGAGAGTTTAAGTTATTTACCCACCGTTGCACAACAAATAAGGGCAAGATCTGGACCCACACTCCAGTGACTCTAACTCCATGCTCTTAAGGTCCGTGCTATCTTCAGTTCTCCATCTTGCCCCAACTCGTTCTGTCAGAAACCACATTCAAGCTATTGATGGGCCAGATTCAACCTGCCTGGAGGGGAATGATGGTTGCTACTATAAGTAAGTGCTCTCCAAAAACCTTCAGAGCCAGAGACTTCCCAGTAGGAAATTCTGGAAATCTTTTTCCACCCAAGACTTGGTCTTAACTAGGATCACGGTGGCCCATTTTAGCTTCTGTCCTCTGGTTTGATATATCATATCCAAGTTGACCAGTGGCTCAGGCTTTAATCCTGAAAGCAGCTGAGGAAGGAGAGAAACATGGAGAATGTGAAATGGCAGTGACTTCTTTTCACTACTGTACAGACTTTAACCTACCCACTTCTGGTACTGCCAGGTCTTGCTTGGTGGCCAGAGTGAGTGAGCAGAGAGTCAGAGTCTAAAAGGTGGTAAATTTTATGGAGAATCTCCCATTACTCTTATTCATTTGGCTTAGAGAATAATTTGAGCTGAGAAGTGGAAAGCAATGTTTTTAAAAGAAGTCAGGAGAAGCACTGTGGATGCATGGTTTTAAGGAACAGTGGACTCCTATCAGATGTTCAAGGTGCAAGAGAAGTTCAAAACCCTAAGTCCTGTTTTTATTTCCTGCCATCCTAGAAGCAGCCTGCCTTGGGTAAGAAGATTTCTCAGTTGCCTGATGAGGCGGGGTTTGTGTAGTTCAGAGATACTGGCTGCTCCTGGCTCTGCCTGGGTCACACTGTTCTTCCCTCTGCTCCTTCAAGCTCTAACACACCCTTGTGACTTGTTGTCAGCAAATCTCTATGGAGCATTGAATTTGAAAGAGGACAAAATATTAGACCTGACTGGCTTGATTCTAAAATGGAGCACGTCATTTGACACTTCACAGGCAAATGTCTAAAATGTACAGATCCCTGGGGATAGAAAAGAAGAATAATTAAACCTTTTAGGCAGCTCTGACTCCTAAGGTAGATTATATTTCATGAAACAAGTGTGTTTCTGAAAATTGTATAAATTGAATCTCTGTAAATGGAATTCTAATAAGCTAGGATGGCTGCTATTTGGAGGAACTCTTCCGTTAATCTCTCTCTGATGTGAATCGTCACCTCACTCCCACTTTGTCTGTTCTCTAAGTTTGCTTTTCATATGTTGAGTTTGCCCAAAGCAGGACCCAGCTGTACTGAACTATGACAGATACTCTCCTACAGTCGCCAGCAATAGCCAACTTAGGGGATTTGAATCTGTTTGCTTAACATTTGCAGCCTCATGCAAGACTGAATTTCATTGGCTGCAGATACTGTATATCCCTTGTACTTTGGTTCAACAACTAAGCGGCAATGCATTGTTTAAATTGTGCCTCTTGGTTATTTGTATTTTAACAGTCATAGCACATTCTCTAAAAAAGTACTTCAGACCATCCATAGAAAGAAGGGTGTCACAGAATTGCATGGAGACCTCAAGAAATGAAACTCCTCACAGATAGAAGTACAACTGTCTCCCAGCAGTGATAAACCCTCATTCTCCTCTCTACATTAATACCCTGTCTTCCAAAAGAAATTTGAGGCTTTCCATAAACACTGAAATGCAATAAAGTCAAGGCACCATCAAGATAAAAATAAAAGTTGAAGGGCCAACCAATGAACTAGAGAAGGGTAAATATCATTATTTAAAAATCCAGGTCAAGGGGAATGACTTCCATTGAGCCCAATCATAACTGAGTTTCCTGGCAGCCAAAGCAACAGTGTGAACAGTGGATGTGACTCCCATCAATCCTATAAAAGAAACAAGCCAGGTCACCAGAAGAGATGAGGAGAGATTGTTAGGACAGCAAACTTTTTCTTTATGTCAGCCTTTTGGCTCCACTATGGCAAAAACATAAGACTATCTTGCTCTAGAAATATCAAGTGCTTTATCTTTTAAGAAAGCGACAGATAATAGCCATGTATTCTGATGATTCTCAGACATGGCTAGCTTGAGACCGCAAGTTAAAAGAAAGATAGGACAAGTTCATGAGGTTTATAAAACAGTGCACTTGGTATGGCCAAATCTTCCCAACATAGACCAAGGAAGCTTCTCATAAGATTTCAGTTTCAGGGGTCTATGTAAGAATGTCACTGAAAAACAGGCTAACTTAAAATAATGACAAATTTTGTAGTAATAATAAAATGCCCAGCAGTTTACAAACTTTCATGTAGATATATTTTTGATTGTCCCGTTCTTGTAGGTATGAGTACATTGGCCTGTGAGGACACTGACATCCAGAGAGATTTGCTGACTTGCTCAAAGTGTGTCTAGTCTGGGTATGCAACAGAGGCACGTAGGTTGGCATACCACAGGAGTTTATCAGAAGGAGAAATTCAGAGGCTGGGATGATCATTCATCTATCAATTTATTCAATCAAACGTATTTTGAGCACTTTCTCTGTGCCAGATAGCTCTTAATGGCAGCTTTGAAAACAGACTTCTAAAAAGTGTCCTTTCAAAGAACGTTTAATAACCCTTTACAAGGTCCACGATTATGCTTCATTTGCTAAGCCACACACCAAGGATCTAAAGCAGTAAGACTTTGTGCCAGAACTTACATTTTTTACTCAAAATCCTACTTTCCTACAACAATAACTCTTTGCAGTTCTGATCTGCTTGAATCCCAAGCTCCAAGCCACTGAAGATCCGGGGTAAAGCTCATCACTGATTTCAAACAACCCTGAGGATCTAAATATTTTATAACATTAGGGCAACACTCTGAATTATACATGTCATTGAACAAATGATCTAGCTGTAACCCAGGCAGCACATCATTTCAGTGTCATTGCTACCGACTTTTCCTACAGCTTCCTGCACACCTCAATTTCTATTAAGATACCTTGCCCTCTGATTTGCAAGAGCGTCATCCTTTGAAAAGAAAAACTAGGTAGATCCTATTTTGAAGACAGGAAAATGAAATATGATCAGAGTCTATTTTTCCAATGTGAGAACACTTAAATATGAAAAGAGCAAAGTGTTTTTTTCTCTCTCTGCCATGATATACCTGTGAAGTAGCTAAGACTATTAACTTTTCACAAGACAACTTGGCACCAACATTCTAGTTTGTCATAGAAACAAAGCCGATAATTCCAAACTCCTAGAATTGTAAAGATCCAAATGATTTTGGTTTGTACAAAAGTGAGAATTGGGTCTGAGGTGTAGATCATGGTAGACAATCTCCAGCAATGCAAGAAAACAAAAAATAAGCAAACAAACAAAAGGTGAGAATTATGTAGAATTTGGGTTCTTTGATTTAGCAATGTTGCTGCTATTGTTTTTCAACAGAAAGAAAGAGGACTTAGGTTGTGCTCAGTGTCCCTACAGATCTTTTCGTTTTCTCATTACAGACACTCCACGTGTGAGCACATCAGTCATATCATTTCTTGGTTATTATTCAAAGAGGCAGGGGTAGGAATGGGGAAGGAAATGGACCAAATAATATAGCAACTGAACATCCTATTACAAAAGCTTACATGAATTGCACCCTTACCACCAGATTTTCCTTAATAGACTGAGGACTACATTTTGTAGCCACAGGGCAAAAGAGCAGATGGATTTTGGCAGAAGAAAATAGTCTCCAAAATTGCATTTCATCATTTTTTTACTTACATAGAAATACAAATATAGATATTACCTAAGCATTGTCACTGAGAAAGTATTCTGGTATGATTGACAATACCCCTTCAGTCTATTTTGTTGAACCAAACAGACTGGCAAAGGCAATTGCATAAGATTAGAAGTGAAAGTTCTCTGAAGTGGAATATTTGCTTCAGACATTTATATGCAGAGTGGAGAATGATGGATAGTATATGGTGTGGCCACCCATTCTGCAGCAGGCCCAGAATCCTTGCAAAACAACCCTGCTCTCTAAACCCAAACCCAGGGAGGCCAATTCCATTGTCAACAGTGACCTGGGTGGTACCTGACAGACCATGAATTAGATTCTTCATTCCTAAATTCCCAGAGCTTTGCCTAGTTCATGAAGCCCCTGCTTTTTGTGTGACATATGCATATGAGAGAATCCATAGTCACAAAGGCAGAAGTGAGAGTCCTTACGAATGATTTGATTTAGGAACTTGCTGAAACAGAGAAATACTCTATTTGTGAAAAATGATTAGTGTTGTGACAACTGCTAATTCTATCACGAGTAAAACGTGTTTTGCAAAGACTGTTTGAGCCTATTTCTAGGAATTCATTTTATGTTTGTATCTCATTAGCTGTTAGTGACCTAGAAGGTCAGTGTTGCCCTGTTATTTCCTTTCCTTTGCTTTTTCTTTTCGTCTCTGGACAAGTGTCTGTGCTCTGCACAGAAATACAAAGGCTAGCAGACCTCAGTGACAGCCAGTGCCTCTTTCACTCCAACGCTGGTCTCTACAGGATCGTTTTGCTGGGTCAGAGACACAGGCCAGAAAAGAAGCTTTTGTCTCACAGTTTCTGATTGTGAATCCCTTCATGCCCAAATATAAACTTGGCTAGACGGGGGTCCAGCCTTTATTCCCATGATCCTAAAGCCACCTAACATTTCTGAGAAATGCACACAGGAGTGGATGACAGAGGAGTCAAAGGCCAGCCTATCTCCACGGAAGAATCCCCAGTGTCCTTCAGCAGCAGGGTTTTTCTCTCCCATGTCATATCTCCTGGGGTTAGCTTCTTGGGGGAGCTAGATTCCTCCCCTACATAAGTGCAACCAAGCAAGCAGGCCGGTCTCCATCATACCCACCCAGACCAGGGACAGCGAGTACTCCTAGGTGTGAGCAGCTAACCAGAAGATGCTTGTGGAGGGACAGATGTTTTAAACATACATATCGCCTAAGCAAATAGCCAAGCCTGAGCCCTTTGTGAGACATCTTTTATCTAAATGATGAGCAGCTTGCCAAAGGACAGGTTTGAGAATCACACCAGTGTTTAATATAAAAACGTTTTTAAATCTAAAATGTATACAAAGCTGGGAACTAGGAAATCTTTATTTCTACCTTGCCTCCTTCTCTCCATGCAGTACCTGTTCGTGATCTTATTTGGAAAATGTATAGGTTGTCATGTGATTCTTTAACAGAAGCCTCAGGAGAGCAGAGAGAATTCTTTTTGCTCACTGTGTCTCCTCAGCACACCGTCCAACACATGGCAGATGTCCAATAAAAATGAGTTCACAGACTCATTCTGCGGCAGAGATGACTAGAGGGAGTACAGAGAAAACATGCACCTCTGAACAACATATTACTCTGAATGTTTAAAGGGTAAAGATCCAAAGAGTAGCAATGTTCTTAAATACAACTGTGTTCATATCACAAAGTACAGGAAGATCCGTGAATCATCAGACACGAATTTTCATGGCAGGTAATGGAGGGGGCTGGTTGTGAAAAATCAAAGTGCGGCAGATGTAAGCCTGGGTCAAAATCCGGGCCGACGAGGATCAGGGTGTGGAGCACGTAAGGCCAGATGCACATGGCAAAGGGCCCCGGCATTCCTTCCTTCCTTCCTTCCTTCCTTCCCGCAGATCGTGGACGGCAAGCTGTGGTTCCAGCTGGACTGCGGCAGCGGCCCTGGCATCTTGGGGATCTCGGGTCGCACTGTCAACGACGGGAGCTGGCACTCGGTCTTCCTGGAGCTCAATCGCAACTTCACCAGCCTGGCCCTGGACGACAGCTACGTGGAGCGGCGCAGGGCGCCCCTCTACTTCCAGACCCTGAGCGCCGAGAGCACCATCTACTTCGGCGCCCTGGTGCAGGCGGACGACGTCGGCGGCCTGGCGGACACGCGGGTCACGCAGGTGCTCAGCGGCTTCCAGGGCTGCCTGGACTCGGTGGTTCTGAACAACAACGAGCTGCCGCTGCAGAACAAGCGCAGCAGCTTCGCCGAGGTCGTGGGCCTGACCGAGCTGAAGCTGGGCTGCGTGCTGTACCCCGACGCGTGCCAGCGCAGCCCCTGTCTGCACGGGGGCAGCTGCACCGGCCTGCCCTCGGGGGGTGAGTGTTCCTGGGGACTGCGCGGGACGGAGGGAGGGAAAGGAACGCACCTGCCCTGTGGGGACCCCGGAGGGTCTCATGGCCGCAACCCACCTGGAGCCCTCCTGCTAGGAGCACTCACACTCAAGATGCATGCGCAGGTTTAAGGGCTTGGCGATTACAGGAGTGTCCTGCTGAGCCAATCATTTCCAACATCCCACAGACCCAGGAGGCCACAGATGGCATCCGCTGTGCCCCCTCCCTGCGACCTTACACCCCTCCAGACTAACAGGACTTCCTTTTAAGTTGTGCTAGGCAGTTAATGAGTTATGACATCAGTGCCCCATCCTCCCACTGATTGGAATTGCTGACCAGGCTTGGACATAATTTTGCTAGAAGTTAAAAGGGGGGAAATGGAAGCCTTAAGCGTGATTTTCAAACCGATGTGTTAAAAATAACTCTAGTGACAGCTTTATAAAGGAGTAGGAAGTCAAGAATAAGGAAAATGAAATTTATGTGGACTATCAGAAGGGATAGCAGTCAAAGATGGCATGATGTTTTACCCCAACACTTTTTCTCCCAAAGGTACATCATGAAGAAAAGAGAGGAGAGAGAGAAAGAGAGGGAGAGAGAGAGAGAGAGATTTATAGAGTGTTCTTATTGTTTGAGGAAAAAGCCAAGATTATTTAAGACCAGGAGGGAATCCCTGACTTCACCCACACGCAATGTCTGTCAAGGTAAAGTAGGGCAGGCCTCCTCCTGGCTGAGACTTGCCACCTCCCAGCAGCCCCACTGCTGATTCCACTCCAGCCCCTTCCCAGAGTTGCTCAGCAGTTGTGTGATTAGCAAATTTAAACCTTCCTCACAAATCACTTAAAAGATTCTGTGTGCATTACCATCTAATGTTTGCGAAGCCCAACTCCAAATTCAGAGTCCATTTTATTATTAGAATGTTATAAACTGTCCGTGAAATGATGCAGTGCTGAAGTACAGACACCAAAGTTATTTAGACTTGCATATGTTACTGCCACAATGAGGGCCAAGTACCCTGGGGGAAAATTTCTGCCGTCTCAATTTAAGAAATCTATTTGCTGTTTTTACTGTCTCAGCAGTATATGTAAATAAAGGGCTGTTATGGTGCCATAATTCCCAAATGATGGGCAGTAACTATACTTCAGTGGTTCTATAAACCAGCCCATTATGACAAGTCATGGCCAGTTTTTCACCAGGCAAAACAATTCTGCTAGTGTGAGCCATCTACGATATATAAAAGGAGCATATAATTAAATTGGGTTGAAATAGAACACCACTCCATGTCAAATCCTGGGTACACAGCCACAAATTGTAACATACTTTTAAGGATGGCAGGATGTTGTTTTTGCTGGCAAAGCTATGGGTTTCCACAATGGGCTATCTTTAAAATAATAATAATAGTCACTGAAGGAAGGGGGAGACCATGGACTCTTACTCTGCAGTGTGCGTTTTATTTTGTTTTTATTGCAGTGAAATCCTTTAGCTAAGTATTCAGTGCAGGTATGTTAATTAAGTGATTAGGACCCATATGAGAAACAGCAATTTTCTCTCTTTTTTTAAAGCTCTTTTGGTTTAACCAAATTTTAGCATGAAGGACCCCTTGCCCTGTAATTTCTACATGGCTTTAAAAATGTGCCTTACCCTCCTTGAGAGCCAGCCTTGCTGTCTCCCCTGCTCTTCACTTCATTCTGTGACTGGGCTTGGGACTTGGACTCCACAACCGGTTCTCTTTCTTCCAAGGTCAGGAAGCCTCTTACCAGTTCAAGTCTCCCCTGCATCATGATTTCCTACAGAGAAAAGAGCGTCTTTCCTCACCTCTGTCCACTCAACTCCCTCCTCTCAGGTTCACTACTTACTCTGCTTAGTACAGAGGGGTGCCCAGGAGCAGCCCTCCTACCAAGGCTACTCTCAAGCCTAGTCCCATGGTTCTTTCCTCAGTAGCCCCTGGAGTCTGGTCCCATATGGAGCAATCTGAGGCTCTCCTGCACAGCAAATACTGAGCCCACAGTGAGCAAATTCCTTGTAACTCACCAGGAAATTTAAGAGGACTCCTATGGCTTTCCAGGGAACCAGAGGTACAAGACTCCTATTCTGATGTGTGAGGAGGAAGCTACCTGCTTCCCTCCTATCAAGATGAGGCCTTGGCCTCTAAGAAAAGAGGAGAGAATCTATTTTCTTGCCCTTGTTGTCTGTTCATGTCCCAGGAATTTTTGCCAGGTTCTTGTATTCTATCTTCAGATTCTCGCCAAATAGAGGAGAGAGGAAAAGCAAGAAAACAAACAACCAACAATTTGACCTTTACTTCATATCTATGAAACTGTGTAGCTACTTATAAGGTTACTTAAAAGAAAAGAAAAATCTTCTTAGCTGTGGGTGGTAGTTTTTTAAAGACCAGTGAGACAGGGTCTTTACTGAGAGAATAGTCATGCCAGAGAGGTCTAACCATAAAGACAAGCACTTGAGGAGCCCAGATGAAAACTAAGATGAGTGCAGTATTCAAAGGAGAAAGTTGGCTTAGAGAAAGTAGAATGAGGTTCTTAAGTGTGACAGTGCTAATGGCACAAGTTATTAATTGAACATTTTTCTGTTGTTTGGACCCTGTGTTGTGTGTTACTCTAAAATTCCAAGACACATATTTTAGCATAGTCATCCCCTTGACCAAGAATACTGGAATATTGGTCGTTGGATCTCATGATGACAGACTCCACTCTCAAACTGTGATTGTCTTAGCAAATTGTTCCAGAACATCCATAATCTTTAAAGCAGGCAACCCACAAAAAGGAGCATTTTCTTTCAGTGTTCTGTTCCAGCCACCTCTAACCCAACCAAACTCTTGGCATGCAGTTCAGGGAGCCTCGTGTACTGTCCTGGAATGACATGGTCAGCTGTTTTGACCAATGTTATAACTCTGGCTACCCCAAAGCAAGCCATAGGAACCCCAGGGGAAGCAAAGCCCAGAATGCTGACTTGTAATAAGAGTGTAAATATGACTCTATAAGTCAACCACAGAGGGAAGGCTCTCTCCTGGTAATGCCTTAAAATTATATGTATTTCAAAAACATGAACTCGAAATAGCAACCACCATGGAGAAGAAGTAGCCAGGGCCTGTTCTGACCCTTACATACTCAGACCCAGTGGGGAGGGAATAGCCCAGTGATCACCCACAGCCTGGATAAGGAGTGCTCGATCCTCCGTGCCTATCATGTTCAGCTCAGGCCCAGAGAGAAAACACAGTTGAGGCTAAGCTATCATTTGGTGAAGCAATCCAGCAAGTTGGGCAGTCACTAAGCCAGAAATAGTTATTCAGACAGCTTTGAATGAGTCTAGAAGCCTAACTTGTGAAATGAAAAGTTGGGAAAACTTTTAGTAGTGGCAGATACCGGTTGTTAGACCTTTGGTACCTAAGTGCTTACCTTGCAAATGCTTCTGCACTGGGAAGTTTAATTCCCACAATACTCTGGGAAGTGCACTATTCTCCCTTTTACCTACCCACTCTTACTTTACAAGTTCAGAACAGGCAGAGACCTTAAGTAACTAGCTATGCATACCACAGTAGGTGAAGTGGTGAAGCCAGGACTTGACCTAGGTTTGTAGAACTCCCAGCCCAAGTTCTTACGCCTTCTACTCCAAATGTGTTCCAGAGACCAACAGCATCAGGATCACTGGGAATGTCAGCAAAGAAACATCTCAGATCCCACCCCAAGTCTACCCAACCAATCTGTATTTCAACCAACTTGCTAGAGGATCAAGTGATTTTTCTCCTGGCCCTAAATTGCCCTGGTACATGGGAAATCTTTTTTTTTTTTCTCATATTGTAGACAGTGGTTCTCAGACTCTGAGATGCATCAGATCACCTAGGGACCTTGGTAAACTAGACCTTGGATTGTTCATTAAAAAGGAAAACTAGCTACCATCCTTTGCCCCCATGCCAAAAGAACCTTCTGCAAGTAACTGAACTGCATTTGCAAATTCCTGAACTTACTGCCAAGAAAAGTTCCAGGAGGAGAAGGACCCAAATCTTGAAAGTAAGAATCTACAAGGGGAAAATTCAGGCGTATCTACTCTTAACAAGCCTCCTACATGGGTTCTATGCACATACAAGTTTGAGAACCACTGACTTTTGGAATTGTAGTACCTCTGTATTTGCAGGAATGGTAGGCAGTGAGTTCCAAGAGAGGTGAACAGATATAGAACATTCAGGAATTAAAGTCAGATGAACAACCTGCAGTTTTTAAACTGCTTTAGTACAAAGATAGAGTACCATTCCTCTGTCGTGAATGTTGTGCTACCCTGAGCTCTTCTTCAAAGATAAAATTAATAGGTGTCTAGCCAGTGCCAGTTAAGCAGTCATGAATACGCTATTCTGCCTGTCAAGTTGCATGATATGCGTTCTTGGATGTTGTGAACAGTTTTTTGTTGTTGTTTTTTGCAACTTTTTGTTCTTTGTGTCCCTCACTTGTAAGGGTCTCACTAAGTCCAGTACATCAAGTCTAAGAGCCTGCATTGCACTGACCTCCGTGTTGAATTCTGAGTCCCTCCTTGTGTGGTCTCCCTCCCTGCCACACAGCAGAATTGGGAAAACTGAACAGGGTCCCTATGTGCTTTGCCATCTGAGCAAGGGCATAGGAAGAGAAAAAGCCAGACTGCCAGAGAATACCTTGTAGAGAGACATTTGGTGATTTTTTTTTCTTTTCTGATGACTTTCTTGTAAATATTGAGTTACTCTATTTTTGTGATTGTTCTTTTGTACCTTAGGAAACTCTTACAATGACAGCATTAATAATTATAACTACTAATAGAAAAACTCTAAAAAAGGTTAGGTACAGGCACAGAAGAACACACTAGAAGACAGAAATTACAGCATGCCTACACATTAAAAGTTTCCAGATCCTCAAGAAAATATTAAAAGCTTGGCTAAATATATAATATGTGACTTTGGGCCAGATTTCCAGGAAGCACTAAGGTCCTCACCTTCAGAAATTTTCATTTTACAAGGTCAGAGGCATTGAATGTACCCTATTTGGTGAAGAGAAAAGTCAAAGTGACTAAAAGTTGACATAGTGAAATAATGACAGAGGCCATAATTGGCAGTTGAGTTGGTCCTCACCGATGATTAGAGTCTCATGTGATAAGG